GCGGTTCAGTGAGGGACTCGACTCCTTTCCAAGGGAATCTGAGTCACAGGATGCCAAACCTGAACTGGTTTCCTGTAATACAGAGGTTCCCAAACTATGGCAGCTGTACTGCTCATGGTACACAAGCCACCTCAGTGTGGTACTCCAACACCTCCCAGACATTGCTACAGCATGTATGAGGGTAAGAGACATTGCTGCTGCTGCTGCTGCTACTGGAAATGGTGATACCCAAACAAAAATATTTGGAAACTTCTGCTTCATTAAGTTGCTGGGCTCACTGTGTCCCTGAACTCCTCGGAAGGGTAAGAACAGTTTGCCGCAGCACAACTGTAAAGGAGCAGAGTATAGCCTTTGCTGTGAGCCTGGGATGGTTTCCTGACATCATTAGTGGTGCTGCTGTAGGTACAGTATGATCCTGCCATAGGAGAGGTCTCTCACAGTGCTGTCACCCCTGAGCATCCACTCCAGAGTGCTATGATAGGCAACTGGTCCTGGCACAACCACCTCCTCAGCAACAGGCTTGAGCTTTCTGCAGCAAATTTTGGAAGAAAGGAGGTCAGAAATGAGATCTTTCCTCCCAGCTGAGTGCCCCAGATTTAAGCTTTTTTTTTATTTATTTCTTTTTGTCTTCTGGTCCGCACGAATCCCATTTTCCTACAAAAGTGGGTGCCCTTCCATGCAGCAGAGGAGTAGCTCCTCCGAGCTTGCCAAGCCTGGTTTATAACCTTGCATTTAAAGGGATAACTTTGTACTTTGAATGTCCTCAGACCAAGGAAAGGCAGAAGTCCAAGCCACCTGCTTGCTGCATGAGACATGGCAGCCTCTGGCATGTACTGTTAGTGAACAGCTACTGTGCACTGGGCTGGACACTGGTTTAGTGGATACTGGATGTGTCAAGAACAGATTTGCCAGAACAGGCAAATACAGGGAGTTAGATATTGCTTCATTTTCCTAAAACAGAGTGGGTACTGAGGTAAATAAGAGCAAGAAACTTGTCATAAGTCAAGCAAATTACCTTGCAGTTACTAATGGGAGTATCCGGTGATACAACCTGCACCACCTGAACATCTCTGAAGGCACAACTCCACATGCATTTTTTTCAGCAGCAAAACCATCCTGAGATGTCCTCTGCACCACTGCTCATTCCTACCTCGCTATCCCAGAGCCATCAGCTTCTCACATATGTTAAGATTTGCCTGCCCAAAATAATTTCACAATTTCATTCCTTAAGTAACCACCCACTCCACTGCTTAACTCATCCCACAGCCCATACCTAAACGAGATGCACTTCAGGCCCTTTTTCCTTTCTTCCTGACCATAATACTCACAAGGACTAGATTAGCTCTGCCCACACTGGAACAATCTTTAATGCCTCTGAAGGCTCCTACCACCCCCTTCCTCAGCCATCTTTTCCTTACCCTAAACAAAGATCATTGTTGGGGAGATGGAGACTGGGCAGCACCTTCCCTGTATCAGTGGGCACCGCTACAGCATCTCCTGGTACCTTTCTCGACAATGCCTGGTGACACAAGACACTGCCACAACACATCCAGACCAATGACCCTCAGTCTGCCCCTTCACTGTCTTTTTTACCTTCAAGAAGGCCAGACTACGTGGCAGCTGATGTCAAGAAGCAGTTACACTGAATAACGCTGACAGTCATGTCACAGCAGCGTTGCTGTGACTCCTTCCAGCTTCCCCTACTGAAAATGCTCAGTGGAGCTCTGATACGCTACATCAGCTGAAACAGAAAATATTTTACATCATCAAAGCTGGAGGTTTTTTGCAGAATTACAAGTTTGATGGTGGCTTTAGTATACTTCTTGGGGCCCACCAGGCTTCAAAAACACAACCAGCCACTCGATACCATGACCAGCACCAGGATTTATTCACAATGCTCTGACACCACCATTACAAATGTTTCTAAAAACAAAGATGAAGACAAAAAAAGAAGCAAAACCATTTACACTAAGAATAAATCAGGATAGCTCTCTTCCTTGTCAATTCCTGGCAAAGACACCTTCCAAACCCCTCTCAGCCACTACCCTCCCTCTCTTGATGCCCATAAGAGCTTTCATAGCTGCTCACACTCCCTTCCAAAATCTTTCCTAGGTCAAACCAGCAGTCATCTACTTGAAGCTTATCCTGTTCCATTTTTACCCTGGAGCTAGGCCAGCCCTGCCTATTAACTGAAACTGGCATCGCTTTACCTTCTGAAGATGGTAATATCTGTCATTGCATTCAGGAGATGGGACCAGTTCTAAAAATTTTAAGAACACCTTAACCATCTTTCCTCCTGCTAATAATGAAGGCAAGTTCAACACTCCAGTTAGTGGAGAACCTACCTTCAACTTCAAGAGCAGGAACTGAAGCAATCCCCTTCCCCAACCCCAAAAAACAATGAAGTAGTGCTCTATATATGCATCAGTGTTTAACTAGGCAGTAGCATTTGGTACAGAAAGGGTCATGTACAGCATACTACTTCTGATGCTTTTATTGGTCACAGGCAATGTTACAAAGCAGTTACACAGAATATTGCTGTCACAGTCATATCATACTGTGAGGTTGCTACAACACATTTAAATTTCACACAGTGAAACTACTTTAGGAAAAAATATCATGCTTGTAACAGAAGATCAAGAAAATAAATTTGTTTAAAAGAAAAAATGGTCCCAGGATTGCAGCCCTCTCAAACTAAAGTTAATGGAAAAGTTTCCACTGACTCCAGCAGGCTTTGAATCCAGCCTCCAACATCCCTTGACAAAGCTGAAAGGTAAAAATGCCTCTCCACTCAGTCACAGGCTCTTCCTTCTCACATTCTTGTGCGTGATGTATTTTCTTCTTTTTAAATGAGAAGATAAATGTGTAATTGACTATGCCAAACTTCATATGTAACAGAGCCAATTTTGGCTCATCAGGTTTAGAGAGATTAGGAGAATTACGAAGGTGATAGCGTGCATACTGGAAAAGGAGGGAGGCTCCCACACTCCTGAGTGCCTGTAGCAGCTGTTTGTGTAGCCTGAAAGTTTCCAAGAAAGCTCACTGCAAGCTTCTTCAGAATTCACATCTGGCAGTGTTTGCTTACAGGTAACTTACATGAGCTGGAATTTGGATGATGTAGCACTAAGAACAGATACAAACATAGCCAGGACCTGGTCATTTGCTGCCAACAGACAACTGAAATGACCCCTGGGCACTTACTGTAGTAATGAGATGTGCCGTTTCAAGATCATCTCACCAGCCTAACTAAGGCAAAAATCTAAGTGAAAAATTACCTTTTTTTGACAAAAATGGGATTTCAAAACCACAGCTTAAGTTTAATTTGAAGATAATTCTTTCTGGGAGCTCAGAGATATTCCTCATTTAATTACTTCTAATTTGCAGGTGACTTGATGCAGCCTATACCTGCTCATTCTGAGGAAGCAAATATAACATGCAAGTTGTGCATCTGATCCTCCTTCAGTGTTGGAGACACCAGAGGGCAGCAACATGCTGAGGCTTCCCAGCTAACAGAACTCCTTTAGCCGGGTATCTTTTCCTTGGTGGGGAAATTTTACTAATCTCAGCATAGCTTCTTACACCATAATGCCGCATTGTTATATGAGATCCAAAGCTCAGAATGTAATTCATGCTTCAAGGAAAATGGGAGTGAGAGGTGTCATTGTTTATATTTCAATGGTCACCAAGAATGCAGTTATTTCCCAGAACTGTATTTGCTAATTATCTCTATTTTTAAAGTAGAGTTTCAATCATAACTCCATGCTTTATAAACTCCTCCCTCTCCAGTGCATATAAAATGCAATTTTTTTGTTCGTGTCTCAGACTGTGACGATCAAATGCTGTTAGCATTTAATAATGGACATGGTTCTACCACATTCAAGTGGGAATGACGGAAGCTGCCATCCTGTGCTATACACATAGTCCATCAGGAGTCCCTGAGATACAAATATGGTACCCACTCTCCTCCTTACTGGCATTTTGGTCAAGAGTTCTCAATAAATGTCCCAGCTTATTTTTAAAAATTGTTTTCATTAATTAAAAACAGTCTATTTGCAAATCAGTTGTGAAATGGACAACAACATTCCATAGGAAAAATCAGACCGTTTCAAAAGTTGGTAAATATGTTTTTAACTGTAAAATCTCAGATACTGGCTGTTTTCTGTCTTGATAGAAGCTGAGTCCAGTAATTAATTCTATATCTCTGATCCGAGCGGTATGAAATTTCATTCTCTCTTCAACCCACATGGACTCAGACTTGCCATCCTATTGGGACAAAGGAAGGAAAAAAAGGGTTTGCAAAACATCTGTTTTTTCTGACACACATTTAATCAATTAGCAAAAGACATTTTGAGGTTTTAAAGAGACAGAAAGCAGTAACTGTAGAGAAAGATCTAAAAAAAAAAAAAAGAGAGCACAACTTTGCCCAAATTTAGTGCCTGCTGTTACTTCTGCAAGTATACAGAACTTGTAGCTGCATCAGTGGAAGCTGGTGATAATGGGAAACGGCAGGTGAGGTCCAGCATCTATCCACCATCTCTCAGTATTTCCAAAGAGCTGTGCATAACTTGGCCAGTGACTTGGGTAACTCTTCACTGTAGGACAGGTCTGCACACTTTTCACTCTGCTCTGGTTTATACGGAGTGCAGCTATGATGTATTCCTATCACAATACCAAGGTACCTGAACTAGAAGCAACCAAAGCTCTTGAGGAACATCTGTGTCTTTTCCTTTTGGGTTTGCATTTGGCCCAGCCCTAACTTTTCTTTAACTTTTCTTCTAGAAGCTCTTCATCCTTCTCAGCTATTGACTGGATATTTCTGCTACATAAATCTATGTATGTATCATGTTGATTGCCTCAACATACTCTGACTCTACCGTGCTAGCTCTAAGTTTTGCACTTTAAACAGACAACTTCTATTTTCACATGAGCATATATACAGACTTGAACATAATTCTGTTTACAAAAATAGTCTTCTTTCTCAAGATGGGCTGCATCAAAAGAAGCATGGCCAGCAGGCCATGGGAGGTGATTCTGCCCCTCTACTCTGCTCTCGTTAGACCCCACCTGGAGTATTGTGTCCAGATCTGGGGCCCCCAATACAAAAAGCACACTGAGCTGCTGAAGCAGATCCAGAGGAGGGCCACAAAGATGATCAGAGGACTGGAGCACCTTCCCTATGGGGACAGGCTGAGAAAGTTGGGATTGTTCAGCCTGGAGAAGAGAGGGCTCCGGGTGACACGTTATAGCAGCCTTCCAGTAGCTGAAGGGGGCCTACAGGAAAGATGGGGAGGGACTCTTTATCAGGGCACAGAATGACAGGACAAGGGGTAATGGCTTCAAACTGAAAGGTGGTAGATTTAGATCAGACATTAGGAATAAATTCTTCACTATGAGAGCAGTGAGACACTGGCACAGGTTGCCCAGGGAAGCTGTGGATGTCCCCTCCCTGGAAGTGTTCAAGGCCAGGTTGGATGGGGCTTTGAGCAACCTGGTCTGGTGGGAGGTGTCCCTGCCCGTGGCAGGGGGGGTGGAACTATATGATCTTTAAGGTCCCTTCCAACTCAAACTGTTCTATGATTCTGTGATAGACTGTATAGTTTTTACAGTATTTAGCTAGTTAATCACTGATATCCTAGCAAAACAAGCTCAAGCCCAACTTCAGATGTTTATGGGAACAGAACAGACTACTTACTGCACAGCTTTCACTGTTGTCTTCTCTGTGAGGCACAATGAAAGACAAGGCATCTAGAGATCCCTCACACTCCAGAGGAGTTTCAGAAGTATTTTTACAACTAGTCAGCACAATGAAGAAGTGAGTTGGAACTGAAACTTCTGAATTATTGGGGTGTCTGAAAGACAAAATATCTTTCTGTAAATGCACTAAATCATACTTGCGCAGAGAACAAGTGATAGTGATCAGCTATATTCTAGTATATTGACTTCAGCAATCCACCTATATAGCCCAAAAAAAGCTTAGACCTGGAAGGAAAACTCAGATTACTATTTTGCAAATCAAATTTGGCTCATAGGCTGATCTAATTAACAAGTTTGGTAAGACAAACAAACAGTTATCATAAAAATGTGTAAGAATCCAGAATAGACTGGGAGTTCAGCATGAGCCCAGAAAACCATCTGCCTGCTGGCTTGAACCAATTTTGCTAACTAGTGTATCTGTACTGACAACTTCACAGTTCAACACTGCCAGCTCATGGCAGTCTCAGCCATGACAGCAGGGATAAGCCCCTGCTTTGCCCACTCCTAGACATAACGACTTAAGATTTCAGGCTAGCAGACATTCTTCCATGTGCTATAGCTTCTCTTACACTTCACCTTCAGGTTTTAGGATGACAGGTGCATTGAGGTTGCATTTTCTCTCTGTACTTGTTGCTTATTTCTTAGCTTTACACTTCTGTATCTGCTTAGGGCGATTTGACTGTCTCGCTCTGAACTGATATAACCTGCAAAGGGCTCATCTCCACAACATACTCTCCTTGATAATAAGGATCATAATTACTTTTTGACCACTAATGGAGGAAATGAAAGGAAGGTTTAGAATGCGAGTTTCCCACCTTTTCACCTTTTCTGGGGTATCATAGAGCCCATCAGAGTCATAATCAAACACAGGACCACTGACTACATTGACACCATTCCTGGCTGCAGCATACTCAGGTAGCAGGGATCGATGGAAGTAGTTCCATAACACTGAAACACAGTAATGGAAATGGGAAATTTAATCTCAAAGGCAGAAGCTGTTAACACAACTCTAAGCAGAGTTTTCAGTGTGGTATAAACAGACATGATAAGCTAGGAAAAGAACAAATTACACAGGTATTTACAGTTTTCAAAGGCTGCATCTAACTCAGCACCAGCCTGCACTGTAGTATCTCCTGGCATTGTGGGTTTCATCCCCAACCTCAAACCTGACTGAGGCATAGCAATGCTGTTCCCTTGTGGCCTTCAGTCTCTTTCCTTAGAAACAAATGCATGGAGAGGCTAGAGGAGGGAAGGTGAGAAAAGACCCTGCCTGTCTGTGTCTTGCCTGTCAGCCTGTCTAGTTTATACACCCACACCTGAGCTAGGAAGTATCTTTAAGTCCTTCAGTTTAGATGTACCTGAAACATCTCCTTGCTGATATGCTATTTTTAATTACTGTTAAGAGTTGACCACTATTGCATTACAAAACAGGACATCTCTTTTGTCCAGATGAAGTGCCATAGTTATCCTTCCTTTTCACCAGGAATATACTTAATCTCCCTCAGCCAACCATCTCACCTTCACTCCCACCTAGGGAAGCCCAGGTCTTCATTTCTTTTGTACCAGAGAGAAGTATTTTTCTGTTCTCTTAGTGACTGAGACCCTGATCTCTGCCTAGAAACTCATCTGAGTTTAGGAGACACTCCTAAACCAGAAATTAATTTAACTCACTATTATATATGGTTATCTGGGTTTTCTAGAAGATATTCAGTAAAAAACCCTGTTTAGGTAGGCAGGAAAACCCAAACAAAAACAGAGACACTTTACTCTCATATAACGAGTCAGTTCATTAGGAATCATAAGCTTACAGTGGTGGGCCTTTTTCACAATAGTGATAATCCTACTTCAAGGAACTTTACATTAAGGTGCTAAGCTCACAGTCCAGGGAAGTCTTACCTTACACAAGCAGCTGACACAGGGATCATTTGCATGGTTTGGAAGTAAAGCAAAAAAAAAAAAAAATCTTTCTCACGTTCAACTGAGCATACAAAACATGCATACAAATAAAATACCTTTAAATGCAGGATACATTGGCATAATGTTGCTCGTAAGTAAGGCATCATAGTGAGGTTTCTTTGCATCCATCATAAAATCTGAAATAATAAAAAAAAACCCAATTCATTACTTGAATTTGTTACTTTAAACTTACATTTTCATGCTTTTAAAGACTGGTGTAATAATGTTCAGGTGGAGCTGACTTTACTTTCTAAAGCTGAGGGGTTTTAAGTGCTAGCTTCAATACATGCTGGATCCCATCCAAAATAAATCATCTTAGTAGCAGCAAATGCTCATCAGATACACAGTGGACAAATTTTTATGAAATTTAAAAATATCAGAACAGGCTTTTGAATTGTGGGGAAGGGAATAAAATTCACTTAATGAGTGTCAGACCAACTTGTTCTGAATGCAGAATCTAGACATAAAAATAGGAGTTCTATAGGAACTTTGCAAATCACACTTGATGTGGAGGTTTACATAACCTACTGCTCAGTGTACTTTATGCAGTAAATTCAATGTAAAATGCTACCAGAACAGGTCAGCAACAGTTCACAGACAATTCAGCCATTTGTAAGCAGCTAAGTGTTTTGTTGTATGCTTGATAATCAGAGCTACATTCTTCAGACCAGTGCTGAATTGCTTTACTAAAGACCACATATGGCACAAATAGTTCAAATAGAAAATAAACTTATCAAGGCAATTTTTTACTCAATGATATATCCTTACATTTTAATTTGGATAGTTCCAACTAACACCTGTCATACCAAGTGAATTTGCAATTTATTAGCTTGCCAGACTCGACTCAAGGTTTACATGTTGCTTCCATTTTCTTCTATGAGATGCTGCTTTAGAAACCTGACAAGTTCCAAAGCTTTCAGAAAGTACTAAATTATCTTGGACAACTCACTAATTGCTGAAGTACATAAAATGTTTTTTCTCTTTCATATGCTGAAATGAATTGCAACAATTCAGCAGCTACTGCCTCATACTCTGATTAGTTACCAGGAACACCTATGAAAGACCAAACCTACTACATTACAGGTTATTTAAATCAGATGTGCTGTACAATGAAGGCAATCTACTTACTTGGAGGAGAAAGGAATCCATAAGTTAGGCGAGGATGATTGTTGTAAAACAAACATGTCTGGTTATGATTAAAAGAAATACGAACATCCTTGTGTAAACAGCTGGAGGTATCTTCTGCAGTAGAAACCCATTTGTCCTACCAAACAAGAAAGTATCATTGGTAAAACATAGTTGACTTAAAATAATTCTCTCAGTGTAGGAGACTGCAGAATGATAAATATTCAGCTGCAACTGCCTTTGGTGGTGTAAATGGCCTTAACTAAGATACAAGAATTGTTCCTTTTTTGTCAGTGGAAAAGAAGTTCCCTCCTGCCCATTTCATATCTTTTGGAAACAAAATGAACAGAACTGCAGTATTTTAGCTGAGTAGAGAATAACTTCTTCCAAAAGAAAACCTAGAGGTGCTCATTAGAGATAACCTGATCTACTGTAAATGTACTTGTTCATTCAGGCTAGGAATCAGAGAGCCAGATGTGTTCTTAGCCACCTCTCTCCACTGGTCCACTTGTCACAGTAACTGGTTACTTCACGTCACTAACCTCAACAGATTTAGGATCAAGTAAACCTTGTCAGAGTTTAGTTAAATTTACTTAGAACAGTCATTATTTAAAACCTATGAATCCTAGATAATCCAACTAAAAAGCAACCTCTACAGTCCTAATTCCTTTTAAGCATGGTGTGGTTTCCAAGGTTTCTCCGAATGGGGAAGGTCAACTTGAAAAAAAACCCTTCATTCACAAAATTAGTGCTCTGCGTGAATATGTGTATCTTAGCATAAAGTTCAGGACAGCAAAGACCAGATTTATCTCCACCAACCTCTTTTCCCAGTCAGGAAGATCTTGTGAGAGAAGGATCAGATCAGGGCATGAATGTTTCAAGATAGATTATTTTTTCAAAAGTTTCCTGACACATTAAAAACACTGCTATAAGAACACGACACCCATGCTGAAACCAAAATATAAGGACAGCACTGGCAGACTGCTATAGCAGACCTATGCTGCCAAGTGGTAAGCCAGTGCAGACTCATAGGGCTTCTGTATCAATGGCAATTGGCTCCTTACTTCCTTGCTCTGGAGGCAAAACTGTGGCTCACTTGGAGGAACAGGAAGGAACCAAAGCCAGTGCTTATTAATAAGCACTGTATTAATAAGTGCTTATTAATACTTATTAATACTTCACTTTCCTAGTGAAGAAAAGCTCATTAAAAAACCACTCTCTCTCATGTGGTTCTACTTAGTTCCCTGGGAGATACCATAATGAACAGATGTAAGAAGCATTCAGGAATAACTGATTTTAAGCTTGTTACCTTTCAAGGTTGTTTCCAACCTTCCTTCAGATACTTACATCTTTGTTAACAGTGTATGCACTCCACAGAGGCATCCTGTAGTCCTTGCTGTATCCACTCACATAGCGGTAATGGTAAAGGAGACAGTAATTATGTTTCTTCTGCAGAACCCTGGGCCGCCCATAAGGCAAAGTAAGCTTCTCTGATTTCTTAACTGCAGCAGAAATAGTGCTTGTTACATGGCAATCAACACTGGTTGTTAATCATCTTCCTCTTTTATATACCTAAGTTTGCCTCAATTTCCAATTGTCAAACAGAAGTCACAGTAACAGAATAAAAAAAGATATTCATTCTTATATCAAAAATACAGCTTCTATGCTAAGGCAATAAATTAAATTACAAAGCCAGTACAAAATCATTTAAACTTACACTGTAACAATTAAATTTGTATTTAAAACACAGTATTTTGTCATTGAAAACAGAGGAGACATCTAAGTTGCAAAGTCTTTGTTGATACTGTGATTCAATTTAAATATTTAATGTAGAATCTGCTTCTACGTAACATTTAGATGGGACAGTAACCAATTGTGGTGATTTGAAATCTTCTAAGGTAACTATTCCAGTACCAACTGCAAAATCATACGTAAAAGTGACATTTAAAGGACTAAGAAACATACTGCTTGGATTTTCAGATGTGTGAGGACTCACTTTAAAAGCATTATAGTCACAAAACCTTCCCTCTCCTTCTCATGGACTGCAACTCTTTAGAAAGTTTGTATACAGAAAAAGCTCTCTCCAAATGTTTTATGCGTGACACTGCATGGGGTTTTTGGCAGACCCTTGCCTAAGGCAGTGCCTGTTTATTGGCCAACTGCCACACCCAATGGAAGAATGAAAGCTTTCCCTTAGAACTGTATTAGAAAGAAGCCACATAAGATCAGCAGAGGGTAAGTAAATAGAGACAGAAGCTAAAAGTAAAGCAGAGTTAGAAACAGAATTACTTCAGTCAACACCATTTATCTTAAAGAAAAAACAAGTAGCAACAAAACAGTCATAAGAAACGCATGCTTCTACAATTGTCTCCTGCAGTTAAATACCAGCAGGAAGCTTCAGGTTTTTAATCTCTGAGGTAGATTTCAATTTCATCAAGAAACCGAACTTTCAAATTTTGCCAACTGGAAACAAACAAAAAGGTTTTCACGTTTCAAGTTCTGTGATGTAAAATAAAAACTGAAGAAAACTAGCACATCATGGAAGTATTTTAAAATAACAAAAACATTACTTTGCTATTGAAAATGCAAGTATCTGCAATTATTACATGACTGAAATTATGAAGATGACAAAGTATATTTTCCATTCAAAGCCACAACCACCCAACAAATTATGCAGAACTACAATTTCAAGGCAACTGTTTTAAATGTGGAAAGAAATTAAGCAATTAATGCTTCAGGTTTTTTCCACAGTAATTCCACAACACACACAAAAAAAAAAGATGAACATTTCTTTCTTCACCCATGAGGAAAAAGGCAATCCATTTTCATTTTTTTCATAAAATGAAAAATGCAGTTAACATTTTGTTGTTCTTACAGGCTGTCAAGTTATGGCAATCAATGAAAGAATATGCAGACTGAGGTAGCTAATGAACAGTAGAACTTTGAAAACCTCAGAACTACAGTTCCCAGAGAGTTTTTCAAAGGATTTTTACCTCATGTACCTGATATTTGCTCAGAAGTTTAGAAATAAAACATTTTCTATTTTTAGTACTACTTACATCTCTGTTATAATTTTTATTACTATCTAAAGTTCTTACCTTCTGTTTCAGTGAGATTTAAATGCTGATGAAAATCCCTTATTGGCAAGCCCTATAATTATAAAGCAAAATCAGTGAGATTCTATTAAGTATTCCACAAAGTATATTATGAGCCACTATAAGTAAAGTAATGAATGTAACACCTGCCTTGGAAGTTCTCTCTATACAGAACTCACCGTCATCTACTGGAAAGGGGCTGTGGAGAATTTGCGAAAACAAATTGGTTTTGCCACAAGCAAATGTACAGCCTTGAAAACCACAGCCCAAAACACACAACATTCATAGAAGGGAAATTTCAACATAATTAAGTGGAGCAAGCAAAAGCCAAATGCTTTCCTCATCAAAGCTTGCTTCTGCAGCATCTTCCAAGGCTCTTCAGAGCTGAATACAACTTTACATAAGAAAACTTAAAAAATGAGTATACAAATGCAGGGTAGTATCCACTAAGCCCAGCGAAGATTTGATTTTGAAACCAGCAGTAGGGGACTGCAAAACTAGTGTGTAAAGATAAACACTGGAGAATCCAGAGTTTCACTTTTCGAATACAACACAGAAGTCTGCCTCTACAGCTTTAACCATTTGAGTACTTACCGCTGTCCTGCAGGAGCAGCCCAGGCTCACTGAAAAGGCTCTTTGTCCCACCACAGAGCATTCAGAAGGATGACTTGTTTCTTTGGGATGGTGGGGGCTGTAAACAGGGTTCCTTAAAAGATGGTTTAGGCGTCCATGAGTTCCATTGTTTGGGGCTGGTTTCAAATCAAGCAAATCTGTGAAAGGATTCACATGCTATTAACAGGACAAGAAAGACTGTAATACACTGCTGCTTGTATTGTGATTACAAGTACGGGCACGTCAAAGCTGCACTGCTTGATGCACATAGCACCCAGAAGGGAAAGGTAATATAAACCCTTTAGAAAGAAGCACACGTGTTCCTACCTAGGGCTCAGGATAATATTAATGTGTGTAAAGAGGGACAGAACAAGAGCAAAAAAAAAAAAACTGCAGAGGCTTACGTCTGAGAGGATGTGAACTTGCAGCATCCAAGCCTGCAGTGGGGGACAGTAGGAATCACAAACACATGAAGCTAGTGACTACATAACACTGAAGATTGGAGGCTTTTTTGTTGTGGTTTGAGGTTTTTGTTTGTTTTTATAGGTTATGCTTGCCACTTAGGTCTGAAGTGTTAAGCTTCAAAATTCTCAGAACAGTCTAACTACAAAAACTTCTCTATCTCTGCTATTAAAATAATTCAAACAACTAAAAGCTGCCTACCACCAATGCTCAGAGAGACTTCAGATACCTTCAAAATACTGAACACAACAAGCCTTACTTCATGCTTAATCCTTGCTAGCATTCATAGATTTGTTGTTCTTTCACTTAACTCATACTGAATCTATGAAATAAGATGTTTTCAAAACATAGCAGGTAATGAGACACACTTCTATCTAAAAGGTTGGTGTTAAGATCATACATGTAGAGCACAAGTGTGCAAAGCTGAACTTCCCTTCCTAAATGGGGGATACGAAACATTTCTCCCTGTACAGTGGCCACTCGAATATCTAAATGTCATTCCCTCCAGATGAAGCTGTTTTGCTTCAGAAAGAATAGAACAACTTTTCTGATCCTAGCAGTTCCTGCTCCAATGAACACATCACACAAAGCACAAAAAAACCCCTCAAATCAGAACCAGTTCCAGATCTCAGGTTCCCACTTTGACAATTAAATTACATAGATACGTTCCTCTTATTTTAAGTGGAGTATCCAGGAATTCACAACTCCACAGAAATCCTCAAGTCTGGCAATTTGAATGCCTTGGAAAACATGTTCAGACAAGACCAAACAAGACAAATCATGAGCACCAGATATGTACAAGTGCCAAGATGTTGGACAAATGGGAGACAGTATCTCTTCTCTGGCTGCACTTTACAAGAAGGCGCAGTCAGGCATCAGTGTGAGAAGCCCTAAAGTCCCAAATGACAAGTGAAACCAAATGTCTTTCTGCAGTCCAGAAGACACCTAAGCCCTAGGCAAGGAAAAGGTTGAATAAGTCATCTCATTTCATTTTCTACCCAAAAGTTTATATGCCAGCTTCTGTATATCCTATTCTTCTAATTCTTTCTATACAGGATAGAGGAAATCAAGATCTCAATAACTGCACTTAAAACTCTGATCTGTCACTGAACTTGCTTCACCGAGATGCCAGTAAGGACTCTGACCCTCCAATGCTGCATGCACAGAACAGATCGGGGGCACAAGAAGGTGGTTCAAGATCAACCATGACATAAGAAGAAAACGCATACAATGGTGAGAGACATGGCTCCTGACAATGGCCTGCTTCCTATTCCAGGTAAAGATTTTAATCACACAGTTTAAATGTGGTGTACCTGAATATCGTCACTCATCTCAAGCATGTACAGTACTCCTGTTAAGTGTTTTCCAGATCAAGCTCTTTGGTTGTACTTTGTCTCTTACAGAAGCAGATCTTAGAGCAAGTATAGATCCTGGCAAGAGAGAGAGAAGGAGGCAAGAAATAATGGAAAATAGGTGAAGACCTCAAGGGAAATAAGTGAACAGAAAGTGGTAGAACTAGTGATAAGACTTCTAGAAAAGCCACGAAATACAGAACAAGTCACAGTAACATTGTGGTTGAAAGAGAGGAGGGGAAAAAAGGAGGGCTGCAAGGTGTCTAATTTTCAGACAGAAACAACACTTCTCTGGTACAGTGTACCATATAGTATCAGAAAATAAAGTGAAGAATATCTATGTATGGAGTGTGCATCTGCAACCGTCAGATACAGAAGCAGACTGCGTGGAACAGAAATCAATCACAAATTCTGGAGTGACACCATACAGGCGTGAGAAACAGGAAACCTGACTATTGCAGCAATGCAAATGAAGAGACTGCTAGCACTAGAGCAAGACTCCAAAGCCATGGACAGACTAACAAGACAGTTGCAGTCCATCAAAAGACAAAAATAATTTGAAACAGCTGTTATATTATACAATGAGAACTGTCAGGGAAACACACAAATCTAGTTTAAAATATAATAATATATATATAATACATAAATTGAACAGGTGACACATACAGTGATGAATTTGGGAAGAAGCTTATTATATGAATCAAGTAAGCAAAAAATTATATATTTTTTTAAAGAAAATCTAAATTTTACCTGAATAAAACTTGTTTATATTAAGTAAATAAAATTAAAACTATGGTCAAGGAAAACAACAAATAAGAAAACACTAAACAAAACACAAGGAATTGTATTGTAAAAAGCAAGAGGAAGTGACTGACTCAGGCTTTCTGAAAATGAGCTGCCTGGCACCTGCACCCATACCCATTACCAAGCTTGTTATTTATTGTTCTGTCTGAATAAGGTTACTTGAGTGATTAGTTTGATAAAGCCTCTAGTTAGATATGAGAGAGAAATATTCCTTCTACTTGACAGTAGACAGATTGTGAAGCAGTCAGTTTTAGTAGTGGTGAGTTGAAGCGTCCACTCTGGAGCAGCCAGAGGAACACACAGAATGAACGGCAGAAAGGAGAGATATAAAAGGTAGCCTGACTGATAGATCCGAAACAGAAAGAATTACTTTTATTTTATTTTTTAGAAGCTGGACCTTTCTCAGAAAAACAAACAGCTTTTTTATTAGTTAAAATCACCAGTAAGTCTTAAGGACAAGTTTCCAAAGACACTTCTATTATTAGAAGATTTACAATACCCCAAATACCCTATTTTACTGAACAAAGATGACCCCCATCAGTTGTACTTACCACACATTAAGTTATACACTTCAATGTTTTCAAATGGATCAACTTGAGTATGAAACTTGAATCCTGGTCCAAAACCAATAAAGATAGCCTAGGATTTACAGAGAAAAGTGGAACTCTGTTTAAGACAAGTTGAAATGGAAAATATCTTTATATTCAGAGAGCATTTGCTTCCAATAATTTCATCTTTACTTTACCAACTTAGCATGTACCAAGTCAAAAGCACGTTCTTCCTTAAAGCAATGTATAAGAATAGTTTTAAAGTAATAAAACAGTATTAGGAAATCCAGTTCTGTCTCATTGTTGCCTTTAAAAAGTTGCCTTCAGCCATTTATGAAGTCCCTTGCTCCTTTGCTTTTAAAGAAGTTAAATTTGTTCTCTTTAATGCTTTAAGAAATTTAATGGAAATGTTGAGCTAAAATAACCATCACTTTTTATGCCCTGTAAACATTTTGGAAGCTTTTAACTTAAGGCTGTAAAAACATCTGTTGAGTTAAGCAACAGCAAGATCCCAGGCTTCTATGCCTGGTTCGCAGCTGCTCGTTCTTCTTGCACCACTTCCTGAGCTGCAGTGGCACAAGCTGTTGTGTAGCCACACAGTGAACCTGATCCAGGAACACAGCCAGCTTCAACTTGCTGTTTTCCTGCTGGCTCTTTTCCTTCTGGTCCAGTTCCCTGACCTACTTAACACTACAGCCACACAAAGCTTATAACAGCATAGAGCAGGGTTTGCTGCAGGAATAAGGAGGCAAAACCAGAAAATGCTTAAACTCAACGGCTGCCAAAAAGATTGTTTTTAAACTTATCCTGAGATGTTAATCTTATTTTTAATTAAGTGAAGCAGATTGCACTCATCTGTGATATCAAGATACTGAATGAGTGATGAATGCTTTGCATTTTATAGCATCTTCCTGGGTAAGATTTTTGTGTCAGATTTCATAGCTTATGGCAAAAACAGAGGCTAAAAACCCACCTCTAACTTCTTTTTTTGAGATTAATGCATAATGCAGGCTGTCATTCTGAAACTGCTGATACTAAAATCTGTAGGTTAAGAATTTACTCAACAAGCCTAATTTGAAACAGATGAGGCAGGAACATGCTACCTCCTTTCTGTTAAACTAGGTAACTACAGAGTATGAAATTTATGCTGCCACAGCTTTAGCCACAGAAGGATAAATTCTATCTGTTTTAAAACCAGATTAAAACTGGTCTTAATTTAATCTCTTAAATTAGTGATGCTACAAATCAACAATCCCGAATCTGGCAAAAAACTTTGAATGGAGTCAACCTACTGAAAAAAAATTACACAGTCAGACTGTAGCAGAGAATATACTAAGCTGGCACATGGGAAGAAGAGTAGGCCTGGAAGGATAAACCGATACAAAACTAACATGGGTTTCTGCTAGCAGTTTTTAAAAAAACAATTTGGTGCCAACATCACATAATTCTACAAGACATGAAAAATAAGGCTTTTAAGAGGAACCTACACTTTACTTTTTTTTTTTTAGTCTCCCACAGCATCCTCACAGCTAAACT